TTTTAGAACAAATGTAAACACACAAGAAATTATTTTTGTCACAGCAATCCCAATATGTCCGCACACCAATAAAATATGGATATAAATTCCTAAATATGGATCAAAAAATAGCAAAAAGATACATACCGTATTTACTCGATTAATTACCCACCCTCTATTAATTCCCCATGCCAGGGGTGAGTTGAAAAAATAATTCCCCACCCCCAAATACCCTAAAACACGTTCAAATTTCAAAACTCGAATAATTCCCCACCCTCTATTAATTCCCCATGCCACGGATGGGTTGAAAAAATAATTCCTCGGGGGAATTAATCGAGTAAATACGGTATTTTACAAATCAGTATTTTATGTAGAAAACAATAATTTTGCCTTTAGCTTTGCATTTTAAGAGCATTTAAATTAAGAGAATTTAAAAGAATTTAAAGTTTCTGTTAAAATGTTTGTGAAAATAAATTTTTGCGAAAAATTTTCGAAAAAATTTTTGACCAAAAATTTCCAACATTTTGAAAATTTTCGCCAATTTTTAATAAAATTTACCAAAAAATGACCAAATATGGACCAAAATATGCAAAAAAGGAGAAATACTGATATAAAATATGGATATAAAGGCTAAATATGGAAAATATGGATTTTAAAGACCATCTACTAGAACCCTAAAACACGCCAAAAACATGTTTTTCATACATTTTATTGTCAAAGAAATTCAAGAAAAAATATGGATTTTCATCAAAGGTGGGTCGGAACAGTCAGAAGTGTCGGAACTCGGAAGAGTTGGAAATCGGAACTGGCTCAAAAGTCGGAATTCGGAAATCAAAATTTTCTCGGAAATAGGAATTCCGACCCACCTCTAATTTCCATTTAATTACACACCCTAAACATCAGATCTAGCCGAACGTGGTATCCTTCGACCAAGCTCGAAGAGCTCTTTCGAATGATACATAAATAAAAAATTATATAACAAAAAAAGTTCAAAATGATCAGGCATTGGGAAAAAAGAGGGGTGACATTACTGGGGAGGTTTTTAGACGATTCAGTGATGAAAAAAGTATTGAACATTAAAACAAATTTTATAAAATTAAGAAAAAAATATTTATGAAATGGTTAAATAGATTTTGTTAGTATATATTGGAGGAGTTTTAGAGGAGGAGTTACCCTATTCAATTAAAAATTCAAATTTAAAAAGAATTACAATTACAAAAAATGGCGATCGGCAATGTGCTAAAATAAGAAGCATTTCGGAACGTTTAAAAAAATGATTGAAAAAGAGTCGGGGAGTTGATGCGTTTTGAAAATTTTTCCCTTCAAAGATTGATGATTTTATGCCCCCAAAATAATCCTTATTCTTTTTTCTCATAAGTTTTGTATTCAAATAATGGCTAGAAGCAAATCTTCCTTGGAAATCACCCCAAACAAGTTCAATTCCTATCGACTTACTTCTTACCTTATATTTCCTATATCAGAAACGGGACGTCTCATTTGAACGAAAAATGCATACCCCTAACCTATCAAGATATCCCAAAAATATAAATTTTAAATAACAAAAAACACCGTGTGCTATCAATTGAGCATCTTTATGACCTTTATTCTGTCCAAATTCTTCCTCATTTTCTTCCTCTTCTTCATCCCTTCCATCCCCAGTTTGTTCTCAAATATTTTTTTTCCAAAGAAGACAAATTTTTATTTAATCCCAATTTTGTCAAAATATATTGAGGTAAGTCTGGAACTCGAGCAGAACCGGAATACTGCAACTTCTGCATCACCAAGTAATTGATAAAATTCATCAGGGTTGAATTCCTTTAAAAATTTATTAAAAAAATTTTTTTACCCATTTCTCCCCTCCACAGTTTCCCCATTTCGGGGGGGGGGGGGAATCTCCCCCTACCCCCTGGCTACGGGCCTTGTCAAAGCCAAGGCATTCTTTTTAGATTCGTTTTCCCTAAAAATTAAATCACTCAGAATCCGATCCAGATCATTGGATACAAAATTGGGTAATACCAACGCTTGCCATAGAAAATGAAAGAAAAATTGAACAGAAAAGGGGGGGGACCAGCCTTGGAATTACCAAAAATTATTCTATTTTCTAACAATCTAAACCAAACCTCCACCATCATCAGGAACTTCTTCAATTAAAAAACTAATTTTCCTTTGTAATTTGAATAGTTTGCCCATATTTTTAATTTGCTTAGTTTGTTGATTTGTTGTCATTGCTAGAGAAATTTATTTATCTGAAAATGAAAAAAAAATAAAAAAGGAAAAATTTTTGGCTCCCATACAAAATACCGAATTCTTAAAATATGGAATCTCAAAATCGCGAATCGGCTAAAAAAGCTCAAAATATGGAATCTCAAAATATCGAATCTCAAAATATGGAATAGGCAAAAAAAAGCTCAAAATATCGAAAAATATCGACAATGCGGCAAAGGCCAGTTGAGTCTGAACAAAGTTGTGACCAACTTCTTCGTAAAAAAATTTTAAAAATAAGAGAAAGTATTTTTCTAAGGTAAAAAAATGTGCTGATTACGAATCTCAGCTCGGATTTTGAAAAAGTCGAATCCCGGACCCGAACCGAATTTCGAATCCCGAACCGAATTTCGAGTTTCCGAATGATAGCTCATCTGAAAGAGCACGTCGAGCTGCATCAAATGACACCAAAATCAATGAAATCCGACCTGATTGGACTGAGTTACAGACCCCTGAATAATCAGAAAAAGACCTGCAGCGGCACTCAAACGGCCCTTTTCGTTTTTAAAAAATTCGACATTTTTAACTACTTTTTAGCCGATTCGGTATTTTGAGCTTTTTTGGCCGATTCGCGATTTTGAGATTCGATATTTTAAGATTCCATATTTTGAGCTTTTTTGGCCGATTCCATATTTTGAGATATTTTTACCGATTCGCGATTTTGAGCTTTTTTAGCCTATTCGCGATTTTGAGAATTCGGTATTTTGTGCGGGCACGAAATTTTTTATACAAATTTTTAAGAGAAAGAGAATGAAGAAAGGAGAGACACGAGAGAAAAATACAAAAATTTTGGCAAAATATAATCTTTTGGCGTTTTGTTTATAATTTTTTTTCGTTAAGATTTTCTGGGAAATTTTTTTAATTTTCTTGCACGAATTTCATCATCTTCGTGTTTTTCGCGTTTAACGAGATGAAAATGTTTGGATTAGAGATCGGAACGGGATCGGGACCCGTTTCCCGATCTCTTTTCCCGGCATTTTTGAAGATGTCGGGATGAAACCGGGATCGGGAATTCCCGGAGTAAGAGCGAGGTAAAAGGTTAATCCCGGGCAGGCTTCGATCCTGCGACCTCCTGGCAGTTATTGCTAGGCGCTTTCGCTCATCACGTACAGGTGCTCTACCAACTGAGCTACCGGGACGCTGCTTCACCTTCTCTTTCATTAGATCTTTAACCCCCGCAGTCAGCGTTTTAAATGCTAGCCAGCTGGATCTTTCTCTCCCTTACACCGGTTTTCCCGGTCCGGGTCCTGGCCGATTATTTTTTCATTTCCCGTTTCCGATCCCGTCTTTTTTATACCGGGAAACCGGGAAAAATATTTAGTGTTGTGTCGATTCCCGGTCCGGTTTTTTTCAAAATTCCGATCTCTAGTTAGGATTTTCTATTTGATATGAAAATCTTTGGCTAATAATTAAAATGTTTTTGTACCTTTTTCCGTTTTTTTCGCGTCTAAATTTCTCCTTTTTCTCCCCTAATAAAAATTTTTAATTTTTTAGAATCACAAAAAAATATTGGACAAAATTTTGCTTTCAAAAAGAACTTTTCTTTCAAATATTTTAATTCGTAAGTATGCTGCAGCAACTACTCCAGTTGTTGAACCAAAACAAAAAAAGGCTTTTTTAACTATTAAAATACTTTTCAAACAAATTTCAGGGTTTGAGCTATTATTTGGACTTCTTCAATGACACAAAGCCTTTGGATCTGTCTCGGACGATTCTTGCAAATATTGGGAAGAAATTGCATCATGACCCATTGCCTAGCCTTCCAAAGGATTTTAAAGAATTATTTGAGGTTTGGTATTTTTTTAATTTTTTGAACTTTTTACTGTTGCTTTAAATTTAGGCCAATTTTACGTATCCTGAGATGCAACTGTATCCTGCAAAGAATAGATTCATTCTTATTCCTGATAGTTGGTGCAAAGCTACATAGTGAGAAAGTGATGGGAACTTCTGGTTTATTTTTTTTATAAAAATTGGGTGATATTTAGGTTAGATTTAGGTTCTATTCTTTGCTGGATACAGTTCCATCTCAGGATAAGGAAAATTGACCTAAATTTAAAGCAACAGTAAAAAGTTCAAAAAATTTAAAAAATGCCAAATCTCAAATAATTCCTTAAAATCCTTTGGAAGGCTAGGCAATGGGTCATGATGCAATTTCTTCCCAATATTTGCAAGAATCGTCCCAGACTGATCCAAAGGCTTTGTGTCATTAAAGAAGTCCCAATAATAGCTCAAACCCTGAAATTTGTTTGAAAAAGTATTTTAATAGTTAAAAGAGCCTTTTTTTTGTTTTGGTTCAACAACTGGAGTAGTTGTTGCAGCTAGAGTGCGGAAAAATCGCGTTCACGGGACCCCGTAACGGGATTTTTTTCAGAATTTTTTACGGGGCAGGATCCCGTGGGACTAATCACATAAATCCCGTTCGTCGCTTAAAAATCCCGAACCTGAAATTATAGAATTAAGTCTGTAGGTTATTTTTTAAGTTTGGTATTTTCCTAACACGCCGAGATTTGCGGATTTTAATTTGCGGACCCGAACTTTGCGGACGCTAATTTTACGGATCCACGGAATCATAATAAACTCTATGAAGTCATCGATAAATAAAATTTTTAATTTTTTCTTTTTTACTCAAGTGTCGGCCCAAAAAATTTTGGTACGCAAAATTCGGGTCCGCAAAGTTCGCACCACAATTTTCCTAACAAGTCTTATTTTTCTTTGCTTTTTTTATATTCATCCTTATTAATTTCCCTTATTTTAAGAAAATGCTTTTTTCATCATTTATTCCAAAATGTTTTGGCCGAATTGAAGCAACGTATTTTTATTCTAAAAAGGTTCATCTTTATTATGCGAATCCTAAAAATGTTGGTTCTCTGGATAAAAATAGTTTGGACACTGGCACCGGGATTGTTGGGGCACCTGCTTGCGGCGATGTAATGAAATTGCAGATAAAGGTGTTATCTAATATTTTAAATGTTTTGTTGTTTTTGGGGTTTCTCTTTGATTTGTGGTGGTTTCCCCCGAGACCTTGATTTGGAATATTTACTAATCGGTTCGGAAATCTTAACTTATTCGGCTAAGTGGTTGGATATTGACGTAACAGGTGTCATTCGACTCATCTCGACTAACTGAGTTGACCGAGAGACAGGGCTCGAAATTGGCAAAAATCTTAACGGTCCAGGTTGATTTTTGAGGTCAAAAATATAACTGCAAATTATAACTCGATTGAAAGGGCTCATCAGAAAGAGTCAAATGACATCGAATTTCATCAGTTCCGTGCGTAAAAAACTGCGCACAGGCTGTTTTTCAGAAAAGATTCAGTTGGGCATAACTTTGTCCAACTTGTACAATCAAGATGGTTTCTGTGTCATTCGACTCATTGTCAGCCTGACGAGCTCTTTTGAATGAGTTATAATTTTTACATTAGAATTTTTTTGTCCAAAAATGAGATTGGTTTCCCATGTGGTTTTTTAATTCCCAGGGGCCTGTATTTTCGCAAGTTTTCGTCTCCTAGTAAAAAGGATTATATATTTTCAACTCTGCGAGAGAATCGATTTGTATATATGTGGAATCTAGGTGTTGGGTCCCACATAACATAGGCAGCCTTTTTATTTTTAAAAGGGTCGGATCTGTGAAACTTGTGTAGTTTAGGTGTACGCCTGTTTATTCGGAAGAACACATCTGACTACACAATATAAAATTTTTGAATTTTCATAAGGCCAGAAGTCAAAAATCTTTCTTTTATAAAGAAAATAAAAAGAAAAATAGTTAAATCTCAGAACCTGATCAAATCCCAACTCCAGTGTAAAAATTTCCCGGCCGTATTCCGGATATCTAACTTGAGCCAGATCTGGCCAGATTTTTCGATATTAATCCGGTCCCAAAAAACCGGACTGCGGAAAAACCTGGATGTGGGAACCGGGGACACGCCTAAGTAGGCGCGCGGCCAAGTAGGCGCAAAGCCATAACTCCCTGGAAATTTTCTGAACCTCAACAATTTTGGGTACCAATCTCTTTAGCTCGATGAGAGGAATCGTTTAATACCAAATTTTGAAGGATTCGGAAATCATGAAACAAGTTATGACTTTGCGCCTACTTGGCCGCGCGCCTACTTGGGCTGTACCCTGGGAACCGGATTGCGGAAAAACCCGGTCTGCGCCGGAAAACCTTCTGTTTTTATTTATCTGATGTTCTTAAAATTTAATTTTTTTCTTTTATTTATTAGGTTGATGAGAATGGACAAATTACAGATGCAAAATTTAAGACTTTTGGTTGTGGTTCAGCAATTGCAAGTTCGTCATTAGCAACTGAATTAATTGTAGGACAACATTTGGACTCGGCTGCAAAAATAAAAAATCAACAAATTGCAAAAGAACTTTCTCTCCCTCCTGTAAAACTACATTGCAGCAGTTTGTATTTTTATTTTTAAATATTTTTAAGTTTACATTTTTTTGAGAAATATATTTTAAGGGTATTACGATTTTTGCGTCGAGAACATTTGCGCCGCGACTTTTGCGCCGCCATAATTAAAATAATATTTACAGTCGGACCTAATTATAGTGTACTCCTTAAAAAATGGTATCCAGGAGCTGAAGGAATTTCAGGAAGTACAATATTTCGGGAAATACAATAGCCCCCTCTAATAAACCGACCCCCTAGAGGGGTCATCTTCAAAGAACTTGACTTTTTCAAATCAGGATATTTGGTCTGCTACCCTTATTCAGGCATGATTTTCTGCCACAAGAGGGTGCACTATAGTGTAGGGTTGTCGGGTCCAGATATCCTGATCTGAAAAAGGCCGGATAGCCGAAAATTTTAGGTCGGATATCGGATCCGGATTTTGATATCCGAAGATCTCCAACTATAGTACATACATCTCTATAGTGAGGTCCGGCTGTAGTTTTTTATAATTATTGATAGTCGCGGCGCAAAGTCGCGGCGCAAATGTTCTCGGAGCAAAGGTCACGGAACCATTTTAAGGACTAATTAAATCATTGAAAATATTAATTGAATAAATATATAAAAATATTTTCTATCTTTTAAGTGCTCGCAGCTGATGCAGTTCAGGCTGCCATCAACGATTACAAAAAGAAACAAATGAATAAAAAATTAATTTGAATGTGGAAGAGGTTTAAAAAATTAAAATATATTATCTGACTTTTTCTTTATTTTCTCCTATATTTTATTTTAGTGGCTTATTTGTTTGTAAAATAAATTTACTATTATTTTAGCTTAAAATTTATTACTTGTAAAATGAATGTAAAAATTATTTTTTTTTAACAAAAATTATTTTAACACAATTTTTAACTTAAATTTCAAAAATGATTTCATCATTTGAACAAAAACATTTAATCTCTTTTTCATCCATCCGCCCAAAAAGTCAGGGCTTCGATTTCTGCGAATTTTTCCTCATTTTGTGGATTTTTGATAGGGCGATGAGGATTATTTTAAAAAATGCTGATTTTTGTGTTCTTTTGAAGAATATGAGGATTTTGTGTAGTTTTTAGAATAAAATGTCATTTTTTGTCTTCATGGCCTTCCAAAATCCGCAAAATTTTCGCCTGCGGCGCTGAAAATATCTCCAGATATCCCCCTTTAATCCATCCAAATCAATCACCATCAGATCCATTTAATCGCTCCAATTTCTCATATTTCCCTTCAATCTCTTGTCCTTCTTAATTTTTGAGTAAATTAACGAAAATAGATCGAGAATGTGTTATTATTGGCTCATTTTTTCTTTAAAGAGATTTTTTCACTAAACCCCCGTACCCCGACCATATTTTGCTCCCCCGACCCGAACCCTGCCTCGAAACATTTCGAAAACCCCGTACCCCGACATACCCAACCCGAGCGTTCGGGGCCCATCCCTAATTAATACACTGCTTTTATTTCTTTTTAAAATGATATAATTTAAGGATTTTGGGGCCTGGCTAGGGAAAGGCCATATCCACATTATATTAGTCATCTGCTTCGTTTGTTATATTCCAATGTTTTACACCAAACGAAGAAAAAACAATATGAGATTAAAATGTTATATACATTGATATTTTTGTTTTAGAAAGAGATTATTCTTTATATTGTATATTTTTTAACAAAAGATTATTTTACTTCAATCTTCCTCACTCAATCTTTCTTTCCTGATATCCGATTTAGGTATTACCGGATATTTATGATTTACATAATCCTCATAATTTGTTGGTATTGTTGTTCGATTCTGATCCGGCAAAGCCGGTAGTATTGATGTTGCCGTTATTGCTACAGGAACTTGAACAAATTGTTCTACGAAATCTTAAAGTAATGTCAAACATATTTTTAAAAAAATTATTTCTAACTTTATTAGAAATAATCTTTTATAGAGTAACTTAAAAATAGTACTAGAGACCGGACCGATACGATATATTGAAAAAATATTGATATATCGATGTCGATATTATCGATAAACGATACCGATATTATCGATCGATAAATTTTTTAAGTTTTTCGATATTTTTCGATACTCGATATTTTCGAGACCGATACAGTATTATCGATCGATCACTCAAGTCCGGTCTCTAAATAGTACCATGTACTGGATGTACTGGAGACGGCGTAGCTGCTGTAAGAGTTCGCATCTGAGTCTGAGGTGGCGAGGAAGGTGAAAACGGTGCAGAAAGTTGAGTATGTTCTGATAAAAAAAATTTTAATCTCAAAATACCTCGTAATAGACCTGATGTTTTCGGAGAAACCAAAGAAGCTCGTCGGTTCACAGAATTTGTTTCGGTTTCAGGAATTTTATTTTCATCTGAAAAAATATTTTTCAAGTTATTTGATTAGAAAACAGTATTCTTAGAAAAATCACGATCTGCGTGCATCGAGGAATAAAGAAGATATTATTCAATTCGAAGGGATATCTAGGGATATAAGGGGATTCTAAGCGATTAATGTGAATATCAGTGGATTAAGGTGGATATCGGTAGATTTAGAAAAAATAAAGATATTGTGGATTTGGGGATCAAGTGAATTTTGGGGGATTATAAAGGATATATAGGGATTTCTGGGGATTAGAAGGCTTTTTTCACTCCCGAACATCACTACTAGCTTCATTCATTAAAATAATACCATTAGAAATAATATATATAAATTAATCTTTCTTCAAAAAAATTAACTTTATAACCTTGTACTGACGAACCCGATGTAGTCGGAGCCGACGAAATCGATGTTCCAGGTGCATCTGGTGAGTTCTGAGTCATCGTCTCCAATGTATGCTGTCCCATAGGAGGAGGTGACATAGGTAACAATAAAATTTGGTTTTGTTCTGTAAAAAATAAGTTATAGGTTTTTGAAGTTATTTCTAGCTCATTAGAAATAATCTATGGGAATAATGAAAAGTTTATGAGTCCAATCAATGTATATGTCATTTTTTCACATATATGTATTTTCAATAGATGTTTAATAATATGTCTAATGTGACTTATAGATGTTTTTTGTTTCTGGACCGATTCGTCGAATGCTCCTTATATATCCCTAGAGATATATCCCTCTTGTTTAAGTGCTGACCTACACTCAGAAGTGTGATTTGTCTCATAAAATTCGTAAAACTCAAGAAGTTGTTTGGACTCATAAAGTTCTATGGGACTCATAAACTGGAGCAGAGCCATAAAATTTGTATTTACCCCGACTTTCTATTTCAACGAATTGAGCTTTAGCAACAAGTCGTTGTCTTTCCTCCTCTTTTTGAATTCGACGCTCTTTTTCTCGACGGAGGCGTTGTTTAGCTACTTCTTTTTTAACACCCCGTTCCTCAATTCTCTCGCGTTTTTGTCGATGATTACCGCCAATAAGACCAAATCCGATTGGTGAAGAAAGTTCATGTTCTTTGAACAAAGATACTAAAAAATATTTAAAAAATTTAATTAATTTTTAATAAAAATACGTGGAAGATCCAGAGGAAAAAATTTATCGGAATCAACCACATCTATTAATTCAAATTTAGATTCAGTCCAAATTATATCCTTCTTTCGCTTTTTTACAGCAGAAGAAAGAGTTGGATCAA